AGCTCACAGCGGTCCCTAGGGGAGGAGCTGATGGTCCCACAGGAACGACGTGCACAGAATGTGAGAGACTGGTTTAGGGCTGCTCTGGGAGGTGCTGGGCACAGCCCATTCCCAGGTCCAACCTCCAAACCTTCCATTGGAAGCAGCCGGGTCACCACTGGGTGCCTGTCTGTGGTGGGGTCTTGTGCGAAGCAGTCCTGGAGGGTGCTAGGAGTGTGGGGACAGCCCTGTCTTCCTGAGGTCCCCAAGAGTGTCTTTGCCTGTCATTGGGCCTTTAGCTCCTCAGAGAGGCCCTAGAGACTCCCTGTTGCCTCCCATTCCTTTGTGACGAGTTCCTACAGTTGTTCTACCTTCTCCCAAGGCCCAGTGCCCCAGCCTTCCCGTGGGGAGATGCAGCCCAGCAGGCCTCCTGCCCTGGGAGTCCTAGAGGACTCAACAGCACCGGCCAGCAACGCCATTTTCGAGTGGTGGAGTGTGCCTCGAAGGCAGCCTGACGGCTTTATGAAGCCAGGAGACAGCTCTGGCCTTGGCAAGTGCCAAGAGATTGCGAGCAAGGCCCAGTCACTTGCCTGAAAGAAATACTTTTTCCTTTTAAGGCCATGAGCTAACTATTTAGATATTGAGTTTTTAGGGTCTGATGTAAAAACGACCACTGAAAGCATTTGTCTGGAAATCCAGTCCAGCCGTATCACCCTTCTCCACCCCACCCTCTCTGCCCCCACCACGGTGTGCCAGGCCTCTCTGGATGGAGCCTTGTGCTCAGACGCAGGCCCCTGGAGAGTTCACCACTGGGAAACCGATGGGAGAAAGCAGAGCCACCGTGTACCACAGAGTGGTGATGGCAGGGGAGGCAGACAGGGAGGGAAGGGCCCCAAACAAGGTGGAAATCCCACCCACAGGAACTTGAGGTGCTGGGTGTGACCAGGACAGGGAGGATCACAGAATGAGCTGAGATCTGAAGTAAAAGTTGGGGGTAGGGGTGGGAGCATTCTAAACAAAGCAGAAAGCACGTGCAACAGCCCAGTGGTAGAGGAGGAACAGATAGAACTCTCCCCACAGCAGGTCCCTTTCCTTCCCTCCCTGGGGACACCGCCCCTCCCCCATCCCACCCCCACCCCGCATGATTCCCTGGCATGATTCCATTACTGCTCTTTAGAGGCTTATGCATTTTTTCAAGTCAAGCTCAAATGCCTCCTTTTCCAGGAAGCCTTCCATGACATTCATTCTCTCCCATGTCTGAGGAGGAAATGATCTTTCCGACCCATGTCTCTCTCCTCTCCGACCCCTCCTTGAATCTCCATTCCTGCCACCTGTATACAGATGCTGCTGTCCACATCTCATCTTCCCAGCTGGGACATAACCCCCCACCCCAAAGATGGGAACTGGACTTCCTTAACCTGGAGTTACCATTACTTCTGGGTTCATATACTAGTCCAGGCCATTTCATAGCATAACTTGACAAAGTGACTCCACCTTTCTGGACCTCTGTGTCAGGTGAGAGGAGGAAGCACATGCTCAGCAACAGAGATGTGGTATAAGTGTAGGAGGTGACTGCATGGTTCCTGGCTGTGCACAGTGAAGGGAGTCAGGATCCAGAAAGCCCCAGAGCTTACTCACTGGTGTTCCAATTCAATAGGAACCTGTGTTCTAGACAGTTCTCCTTTGGTCCAGATGCACAATATGAATGAAAGTCCAGTCTCTGAGGGAGGATATCTTTTCATGAGTATGACAGGCTGGTTCCTTTCCCCTCTCCTTCCTCTCTCATAAGGGGGACGTGCTTCCACCATGCCCTTGTGGGCCCATTTACTGAGCACAACTGTGTCACCGCAGAGGGTGTGTATGTGTGTGTGTGTGTGTGTGTGTGTGTTTTGGTCACACCCAACAGGATTTGGGGGCTATCCCAGGCTCTGTGCTGGAGGGGAGGAGGGTTACTGCTGGCACTGTTCTGGAGACCATGAGGTGCTGAGATGAAACCAGAGTCGGCTCTATGCCAGGCAAGCACCTTACCCCTTGGACTAGCTCTCTTGTTACAAACAGGGTTTAAAGGTCTTTGTGGCCTGGCATGGATCGCCAGCTTGTGCTTCCTCCTCTCACCTGACACAGGGCACAGACAGAGCCAACCCCCATTCTGGAGACCAGGAGCGAGGCCGCTGAGCTGGAGCCTCACTGACCTGTTGAGGAGCTGGTTGGGAGAATGCTGGGATCACTGTATCACTGTATCACTGTCATCCCATTCATTGATTTGCTTGAGTGGGCACCAGTAAAGTCTCCATTTGTCCCAGCCCTGAGATTTTAGCAGCCTCTCCTTCCTCATCCTTCCCAACAGTGCCATATTGGAGGCTCTTTCAGGGTTAGGGGAATGAGATCCGCTATTGTAACTGTTTCTGGCATATCGAAGACACCATGGGGCGCTTGCCAGGCTCTGTCATGTGCTGGGATAAGTTTTAGAACATTGTCATGAAACAGTCGATTAATTCACGCAGATCATGATGGGGAATGAATGGCAAAGCTGGCGATCAAACTTAGGGTCCTGGTTTCTAATCCTGCACCTGTTGCTTACTGCTTCTACCTTTCAGTCTTGAGAGCTCCCCCGTACTCTCTTCTCCGGAAGCCACACTTTCACCCTGCACCATCTCTGCTCTCTGGAAACTTCCAGCTCCACACAAAAGAGGCACTGCCCCGCAGCCCAGACACCACCCTTGGCTGCTAATAACTGGAGGCTTTGGAGAAGGCTGTTCTGCCCTCAGAGCTCCCAAGGGGAGGCCCCTACCCTGAGGGAAGAGATTCCGGGCCCTGGGAGTGCCTGCCTTCTCCCAGGTGTGATGTGATTCCTCCCCATCACCTCTGCTGGGAGCCTGGGCTTTTCTACCTCCGAGCTCTGTCACACTAGAGACTCACAGCTGGGGCTTCATAATCCGTTAGGTGTCTGCCAACAGCTGCCAGCTTTGGAAGGTTTTCGCACATTAAGGCAGCTCCATCCGGGCCCCAGTCTGAGCGCCTTGGGGCATCATGCCCTACGCAACTGCAGGCACATGCTCCGAAGCCTGTTACCCAATCAGCACTGCCACAAACGCTCCCAGACAGGAGAGCCACGTTCAGTCATGGCCACTCAAGGCCAACAGAAAACAGACCCAGGCAGGGCAGCGACCACGCGAGGCCATGAGCACAGGCTGGCAGAACACACACGGTCCCCTAACAAGGGTGACACATTCTCACAAAGACACGGTCTCTGGCACAAGAAGACCCAGTCACATGCAAGGCTCCTTGGACACACTCTCTCTTCGTCCTACTTGGTCTTTGTCAGACCTGGTCAGTTTTTTTTGGGGGGTGGGGTGGGGAGAGGGGCACACCCAAAGGTGCTCAGGAATCAGTCCTGGTGGGCTCCAGGGCCCATATGAGGATGCCAGGGATGGAACCTCGGTTGGCTAAATGTAAGGCAAATATCCTACCCCACTTACTGTCAATCCAGTTCTAGATCTGGTCAAGTTCTGCCTTTTACTTGCTCCAGTTTTGTCCCTCAACTTTTCTGAGTGTCATCTGTGAGACAGAAAACACAGATGCCATTCCACTCAAGGAGGCCAGGGGATGCAGAGGGTTCATGCGTGTAAAGCAACCCGCAGCCAGGTAGAGCTGGTTGTCCCCTCTCCCTTCCGGGTCCTGCCGAAACTCCTTCTCAAATTTCATTTCTTTCCATCACTCACTTCAGGTCCTCTGGGTCCTATCAAACTGCAGCTCAAAGCCTACCTTCTCCAGGAAGCCCTCTTGGGTTTCCAGCTCTGGATCCTCTGAATACTTTGTGGGCCCCCTCCAGAGACCCTTGCTTAGACATGGCTCAGAGTATGCACACAGCAGGCCTAGGCTGGGGTTGTGGGGTCACTGAAAGGCATGCTCCCAGGGCCAATCACAAAGTCTTAACCCACAGTTACTAGGAGGTGCTTGAAAAGCTCATGTGGCCTTTCGGAGGTAGGGAGTGCTTAGATGGGGAGATGCCTGCTGAGTCTGAGGACAGCAATCTCCGTGGGGACTCAGGCCTGAAGCTTCAGTGGACTGAAGTTAGTAGGCTTGGTGGGGCCTGAAACCTAAGTAGAATGGACAAAAGACAGTGAGTAGGAGTATCATTTAATGACTATATATTTTTTGACTTTTGGGGTCACACCTGGCAATGTTCAGGGGTTACTCCTGGCTCTGCATTCAGGAATTATTCCTGGCAATACTCGGGGATCATATGGGATACCGGGGATCCTACACACTATTGCTCTATCGCTCCAGCCCATACAACTGTTTTTTTTTTTTTGAGAAAGGTGGGAGAGGAAGGCAGATGTGGGTCATAGAGAGCCATCCTTATTGATAACCAAGATGCACACTTGAGTGAGCTTAGGGGGAAGAGTATTCCCAAGCTGAAGGTCCAAAGAAAGCCCTAAAGAATGTGCTAGATGCCCACGGGAGTCTGTCTCCTCACCTGTTTCTGTGGTTCAGGTCTGAGTAGGACTGGGGACAGGACAGCTCGGGGGCTCCCTGAGGCCCCACAACTAGTTTCTTTCCAAAGGAGCACGCACAGGGGGATGGTGGCACCTCTGCTGCTGTGTGGAAAGCAGCCTTGCCACCCTGGGGCTTCCCGAGGGCACCCATCCCGCAGGCCAGTGCCCGTGTGCCGGTGACTTAGCTCCCATCACAGACCTGGAGCGATGGGGATGGACAGACATGCCAGAAGGGACCTGGGTCCTTGTCATTCCAGGTGGCACCCTGGCTAGGACAGCTCCCGCCTGGAGTTGGACATGAGAGAAATGCACAGACAAACGCTGGGCCTTCCACTAACACATCTTGGAGGTTACCAGTGTAACAAGGGACAAGGGGCAACCATCAGCGCTGTAGAGAGATGGAGGCCCGACACTGTGAAAGGCCTTGGAGAAGGTAAAGTCACTGTATAGGTGTCATGACCTCTGCTCAGCAGGCAGGATATTCCCCCATGGGTGCTGCCCGCCCTGCACTGTTGTTCTCACCTGCTTGGTTGGTGGTGATATTCACGGAGGCAAACTGGGGCGAGAAGGGGCTCTGGTCAGTGACCCCGTTCACGGCTTGGATCTCAAAGGTGTACTGGGTGTGCGCCAGCAGGTCGCTGATGTAGATGCGTGGCTCTGTCAGCCCCAGCTGGCGTGGCGCGTACTGCACATTGTCCCCGCAGCGGGTGCAGGCGCCCCGGCCCGAGCCACAGCTCTTGCAGATGATGTTGTAGACGAGGTCCTCGCGGCCGCCTGAGTCGCGGGGCGGCGTCCATTCCAGCATGAGGGATGTCTCATTGACGCTGGAGATGACCGTCTGAGGGGCGGAGGGGATGGCTGGGGAGGGGGAGTGTCCGTCAGTGTCAGTTGGGGCGCCTGTGTCCAAGAGCCCCCTCTGTGCCCACCACCCATTTCTCAAGAGGGTTCTCCCAATGTTTTCACCTTCCTTCTACCCAGCCCCTCCCAAAGTTTCTAGAACCCAGCTCATCTGGCAGCCCCTCTGTTTACATTTACTTCACTCCCCCAGAGTCCCGTCTTTGCAGAAGAGTTTATATAGGGGGTTGCACCCACTTGGGACCCATCTTCCCTCCTTTACATCAGAACCCAGCTTTTCAGGATGGTCAGTGTGGCCAGCTAACGGCCTCATTTCCCACCCTCCTGTGATGCGGTGCTGGCCACTGATAGATAGCAGACATTCTTGGATGGGACTTTCCTGTAGAAGGGAGACAGCCAGTTGTAGCATGTCTCTGTGTGTCCTTTGCCTTCTTTCTGTTGCCTGGAATGTGTGCAGTGGCTGGAGCGGCAGCAGCCAGGGTGGACCATGAAGTGACCAGAAGCTCAAAAATTTCATGCAATGGATGACAGAGCCCAAATGAAAAAAACAGTCAGACCCCAGAGAGCATCCTGGATTCGCGGGACTATCCCAGGACTGCCTGTCTGGGCCTTTCTTATGTGAGGAAATAAACAGTTTAAGCCAATGGGGGCGGCTCTCTGACCTATAGCTGTCATTTCTGCCTGGGGCAGAGGTTTTAGCATTGCCCTAAGAACCACCCTTTCTTAGGGTGCCCTGGCTGGGATTCAGGCAGCCTCCGCACAGACTGCACCTGTGTTGGCTCATCTCAGGCCAGGCCCTCCTTGACTTTACCCTCTATGTGACTTAGCAGAAGTGGGTAAGGAGCCAGTTCCAGCTCCAGGGTGCCTGCATGCCAGCAGTACAAATCCCCCAAGATGGTTCCTTCCCAGTGGGTTTCCTATCCCTACTTCCCTCAGTAACTGGCGGCTTCTCACTCAGGAAGGCTGTAGCTATGCAGTCGCTGACCCCTGCTTGAGCTTTAGTGCAGCGGGCTCAGGAATCAGCAGGGAAAGGCCCTCCTGGGCCAGGACTCACTTGTGCAAGGCATGTCCAGGGGGTCCAGGTCTGCTCTGTAGTAGCCGTTGCGGCAGACGCAGTTGGTGGCCCCTTCTGAAGTAGTCCGGCTGTTGATAGGGCAGTGGGTACAGGCCTCATCACCTTGATTGGCCTTGAAGGTTCCAGATGGGCAACCTGGAGGTGGAAAAGACAAGGGAGAGATGATGGAAACCTGGTCAGTGCACAAAGAGACCACATGACCTGGAAAGGGCAGACGGTCTCAAGAAGGACTTCACGGTCATGGAGTGGCCACACGCATCATCACTGGGCATCCCCTTGGGAAGGCTTGGGGATCTTGGAGCGTCTAGTAGTTCCTGCAAGTTCCCAGGGCCCTGATTTCTTGTCTCTGAAGTGCTTAAGTGGCCATTCCTGATGGCCAGGCTTAGGATGAGTGGTCTGGGCAATGCCCTTGTCCTTGTGTGGTCCTGACTCTTGAACCAGATTCTCGGACTGGATGATGGAGACAATCACGTCTATGTTCCCTTGTGGTGATTGGTGGGCTCCTGTCGGCTGAGAGTGATGCTGCAGAGGACCAGAAGTCCCAGCATGGTGCCAGCACTCATGGTGGCTGAGCGGGAAAGAATTCCTACTCTCCCTCTTGAGCTGTGAGTCCCGGGATAAATGGCTTCAGCCCTTTGGAACTTCAGCTGGCTTATTTATAAAGCGATGGCTCAAAGGCCATCTCTGCAGGCCAGTCTGAGTATTTAGCATGAACAGAGAGGGCACGGGGCACAGGCCCCTGCACACTCTAGGTGGCCCAAAGAAAGGCACTGAGGTGTCAAGCCCTGTAGTGACAGGCGCAGCCTGCAGTCCCAGGGACGGTCTGAGGAGGGCAGTGTTTGAACTTGGTGAGCATTCAGTTCTCCCAGAGGCTCTGGCCTTCTTTCCTGCTCTGGGGATGCTCCAGGATTGGGGTGGAAGCCCTGCAGCTCTGGACTTGAGTTCTAGAAGAGATGCGCACTCTCGTGGGGGTCTGTGTGCACCCTGCTTACTGGCCTTGGGTGGGGAAGAAGCATCTCAGGGGTCTAGGCCAGGCCCCTTGTGGTCTTAGGTTCTCTTTCTGCTCATGGGAATTCCTGATTTCAGCCCTTCTGCGGAGGAGTGTCAGACTGGGGGGAACGTGAGAAGGTGAGAAGGAAGAAGCTTTGCAATGGGTAATTTTCTGCTGGGGATGAAATGAGGCCGAATGGCCAGAGACCAGGGTTCTTTTTTTTTATTATTATTAGTCTGCCTTGCACGCAGCCAACATGGCCAACCCGAGTTTGATTCCTCCGCCCCTCTCGGAGAGCCCGGCAAGCTACCGAGAGTATTCGATATGCCAGACACAGTAACAACAAAGTCTCCAATGGAGACGTTACTGGGCTCGCTCGAGCAAATCGATGATCAACGGGAGGGCCTTTACTTTACTTTATTAGTGAAACACCATGAGGTACAGGGTACAGTTGTAGATTTACAATTTTTTGTGCTTGGGTTTATATTACACAATGATCAAATACCCATCCCTCCACCAGTGCCCATTTTCCACCACCATGGATAATATCCCTCCCACTCCCATCCCTCCCATCCCACCTTGCCTCTGTGGCAGGGCGATCCCTTGTGTTCTCTCTCTCCTTTTGGGTGTTGTGGAGACCAGGGTTCTTTACACGGACACATTCCATGCCTGGGCACAGTGTGACCTTTGGCACCAACTAAGTGGCAACTTCCTCACCTGCCAATTTTCCTAGATTGCTTCTCCAGTCACACTTCCTAGTCCAATTCTTAGCCAACCACACTCCCACGAACACCTTCACCTGCTCCAGCCTCAGGAACTGCCCTGCCCCACCCCCCTTCCCATTGCTTCCACCTCTGGAGTACAGTATGTTCTCATCTCACCAGGACCAGGGTCCCTGCCTGGATATGCACTGCCACCCCCGCCCCAGTGGGGAAGCATGTCCGATTCCAGCTGCTTCCTGAGCACCCAATACAGAAGCCGATTCCATGCGGGTTTTTTGTTTGTTTGTTTGTTTTGCTTTTTTGGTCACACCCGGCGATGTTCAGGGGTTACTCCTGGCTTTTGCATTCGGTAATTACTCCTGGTGGTGCTCGGGGGACCATATGGGATGCTGGGAATCGAACCCCGGTTGGCTGCATGTAAGGCAAACGCCCTACTTGCTGTGCTACTCCAGCCCCTCCATGCAGGGTTTTGGAGATGCTATTTACAGCTGCCTGCATGAGTGGAAAGAATCTGGGTTCTGGAGATGGTGTGGGCAGATGTGTAGTGGGCTTTGGAGAAGGTGTGGGCAAGAGTGTAGTGAGTTTTGAAGAAGGTATGGGCAGGAGTGCAGTGGGCCATGCTATCTAAGGGTGCAGTCGGCCTGGCAAATCCCAGCACCATGTGGACCAGCTTTGTGACCCTGAGCAAGTCACTCAAGCCCTGTCCTCACCTGTGGAGACAATAATATCTACCTCCTAGAACTGTGAGGAGGAGGAGGTTGGCTGTCATGCTGAGAACCATGCCTAGCATTGTTTAAGCTGAGTCTGGTTCAAACACATGAGTATCTTCTGGGGGACCTCGGGTAAGTTGCCTAACCTCTCTGAGCTTCAATCTTCTCCTTGGGAAGACAGCAAGTGCTCTGTAAACTGGCACAAATGAAGAGTTGGTCCGGGCAGTGGGTAGGGGAAGGGATGCAGCCACCATCCATAGACTTTCTGGAAGAGGCCTTTGAGAACAAGCCCGGGACAATTCCCTCTGGGTGTTAGGAAAGGGTGGGAGGCAGGCCCGGCTTCCTCTGTCTGTTGGGGACGAGGGCAGGGGTTGCAGTGTGTCCAAAAGTGGCACTGTCCTGATCTACAGCCAGCCTGGCTGATACCAGGCTCCCTGGGGACCGTGGAAAAGGACCTGCTCCAGCTCTGTTGCTAGGGAGCTGCCTGAGAGAAGAGATAAGAACTTTGACACAACTAGCCAGGCTGGGGACACCAACGAGGGTGACAAGTTATGCCCTGGGCATCACGCTGCCCCCACTGCTAGGCAGCCTGACCTCAGAGCCCACGTCTCTAATGCCACACACATGTCTGAGCGCATCACACAACGTGGTCAGCCCACGGGGGCCAGGAGGGGGCCAGCAGCTTCCACACCGGGTGCCTTTCTGGGGTGCCCTCCCCCGGGCAGGCCTGGGTCCCCATTCCGACCTCTCGGCACTGCTCTTTCCTGGCCAGTGGAATGTGCGGGCAGCCCAGTCCTCCTGGCTCGGTCCTGCGACGCTCGCAGACTGCAGCCCTGGCTTGAGATGAGCCTTAGATGGCTCTGACCCTCAGTTTCCTCTGTGGTACAGGGACCCTCTGACACATGCCAAAGGGTTTTGGTCCCAAGGCCAGGATCCTCCTGGCTCCCTGGAGGCCAAGAACGTGTCCAGCTCAGCACGTCGTCCCCATCTGCTGAAGTTGCTCTGAGCCTGGCTCCCACACGCCCCTCTGCACCGTGCCAGCCCCTCCATCTGGCCCGCCTTCCCGGCCGGCCCCTCCAGTCCCCAGGCCTTGGCCGCCTCTCACACTCACCAGGCTGTCTCTCAGAAGCCTCCCTGCCTTAGGTGTGCTGGCCTGGCCCTGCCTGGCCCTAACCCGAACCTGCTGTGGTCTCTCTCTGCCAGCACCTTGCGTGGCCCTAACCTGGGCCTGCTGTGGTCTCTCTCTGACAACATCTTGCACTTCTGTCTGGGGAGGCCGCATCATCGGCCACTTGGTCAGCAGGAGGCCTTGGCGCCTGCAGTCAGCCAATTACCAGGCTTCCCTCCCCGGCTGAGCCCTGTCGGCGTCCTCCCCCCACCCCAACAGGCCTCCGGATGCTCTTCCTACCACGCCACAGCCCCTCACGGCCATCTGGCCCCCTCTCAGCCTCCAGAGCCAGCCTTGCAAATCTTCTGTGTCACTTAAAAGCCCACCATGGGCCACAATGGAATATTATTTGGCCATAAAGAAGAATGTAGGGCTGGTACACACAGCCGCATGGAGGAACCTTGAAAACATTGTGCGCCATGAAAGAAGCCAGCACAAAGGCGCGTAGGGCCTGGGCTTCCATTGACATGGAAATGTTGAGTGGGCACAGCTCAGGCGATGGAGTAGATTAGCGGCTGCAGAGTGGGGCGGTGGGATGGCAGAGTCAGGAGAGGCTGTTAATGGGTAGCGAGGTTTTTTTCTAAGTGAATGGAAACACTCTCAAATGGGTCTTGGTGATGGTCGCACGACTCTGTGAATGTACAAAGGAGCCGGCAAATTGTTCAGTGGAAGCAGGAGGACAAGGAAGCAGACCACAATGCAGTTCCTATTCAGTGAACCCACGCTGGGGCTGCAGCTGAGGACCCCTGTACATGCTTTGCCTGGGCCAGCCTCTGGGTTCAATCCCCGGCCTCTCCCTGAAGCCCACAGCTCTCCAGATCCCCCAGAGCCCCCCAGAACCCCAGGGCTGCCACCTGCCTCTCTTCGACCTCTGTGGCCGGCCTGTGTCAACAGTCCCACCCAGTTGCCGCTACACATGCCTGACCCACGCCCTTGTCCACATCCCTGGCCTCGCCCGCCAGGGTCTTACCCTATTTATCCCTGTGCCCCTTTCAGATGCAGGCTGCATTCACCTCTCCGGGCAAGGCGAAGGGGCCTATTTTACTCGCCCATGGATCTATAAGCACCTGGCTGGACTGTCAGTGCCAAGACGGTGCCTGGTGCCCAGAGAGTGATAGAGTGAGTGAGCTGCTTACAAGGAATCAGGCCCTCCGCAGCCCGCTCCCCCTCTCCAGGAGCTCCCTGCAGTGCTTAGATGGAATCACCCCCAAGTCTCCTGGCGATGCTGTTTCCTCAACCCAGGATGCCTGCCCTTGTGCTGCCCTGGCACCTCCTCCGAGAAGCCCCCCTGGCTCACCCAGCCCCTCATTGCTCTCTGCTTGGGTCGGTGTGTCTCCTTCACTGTCCCTCACTCAGCAGGTGGGATTAGGAGAGCACTGTCTTCTATTCCCTAAGGGGAGTGTGGGGAGGCTTATCTGGGTGGGAGTGGAAGTGCAGGAGAACTCAGTATTTGCTGAAGGTCAACATCTGCCCTGGGCCAGGGACTGAAACCAGATGTGAAAGCGAGTGAGGACAAACTTGGGCAAGTACTGCAGGGTGAGTAC